AAATTGACTTATAAATGCAATCAATAAAAACTTAAAATTAATGTGTATTGAAAGTACATTTTACACAAATGAAGTTTTTATTAATAGTTGACACTTTCGGATTGAACATAATTAATTTTAAACAAACAATTTATTTTCTAAATTTCCTATAAATACTAAAAATAAATTGGATATGGTATGCATTTATGTTAACTTTCTATTATTTGGTAAAGTGGTCAAATAGTTATGACCGGTAATATATATGCATTACTTTATACATCGAGATTCAGTTCCTGTTATCCAGAGAAGGACGTGAATAAACGATAATAACACATACTTGAAAATCGAGTGGATATACACGAGTAAGTTCTCGATCGGAGTGGGAGTGGCGGTTAAAGTAAACAAAACAGGACCAATCGGGAGGAAAGGCTGGCCCGGTGGATGTTTGTCTTTTTACCCTCTTCTCTTATACTTCCCCCGATCTCTATATCCCCTTCTTGCTTTAAGGGATGCTGGAATCGCACTCAAGTCGACACCCTGTACATTTCTCTTAGCCAATCGTCTGTTTCTTACGGAAGAAACTAAATCTCCAGGAGATTAGCTTTGAGATCTTCTTCCTTCAGTGAGTGAGAAAGTTCTTCCAGTTTGTGATTAACGTACAATTGTACGAGATCATTGATCATTTAATATCCGTTATCTTTTTTTTTTAGTATCTAACACACATTTTTTAAATCTAAAATCCACGTGGACATTTTTACTCACTTTTATAAAACTTTAAATATATTTTAAACTTCTTTTTCCTTTTTTTTGTTTTTTTTTTTTTTTTTTATATAAACGAAATGAAACATGTGTGTTGTAAAAGATATCATTAAAATACTGTGCTAATTATATTTTTGTTAAATCATTTGTGAATAGTTTAAAAAAAATTTTTAAAAGAACTTATTTTACAAGATAAACTATCGATATCGATGCTGCGCAACAAGAGTAAAAACAAATCTACGGAAGAGATCCCTAATGAAGAACAGAGTAAACAAAGGAGGCCAAAATGCGCGCGTTGTAGAAATCACGGGTTAATTTCCTGGTTAAGGGGACACAAACGAGAATGTCGTTACAGAGAATGTCTCTGTCCAAAATGTTCTCTCATTGCTGAACGTCAACGAGTTATGGCTGCTCAGGTAATTTTTACATTATTATTATTATTAAATAAAATGATTATTTGCTTTTGCACATAAGTATAAATGTATTGTTAAACATTTTTTTATCTTTCAACGTTACATATAATGAAGAAAAAAAAAAAGAAGAGAAGAAAATAGAGAAAGATGAAAACGAAATCCATTAACCCGCGGTATAGCGTTTCATTTCTGTTTGCATAGGCATTATGACACTCGATCCTGTCTCTACTAACTTACACACATAAACACGTACATACATATATACATATACACACACACATACTACAAATATCAAGGCTTTCGATCTTTTCGAGATAAACTCGAATAAATGCGTAAGAAGTATTAGCGGTGGTGGTAGTTGTGAATCTGTAACTAAATGTACAATGAAAGGGGTGCGAAAATGTATAAAAAAAATCCCTGGACAATGAAAAAGAAATTTTCCTTTCTTCCTCTCTCTTTTACCTTTTAAATATTTTTAAAAATTTTATTTATTTAATAATTAATAAATTAAAAATAATTATTATTGTATTTGTCGAAAATTGATTGATATCATTGATAGCGTGTAAATTGTAAAACACGAGAAAAGAATTTCCAGTGGGTGGTCTAGCTTGAAATAACGTGTGGCAAATGGTTCCATACGTGTGTAGACACATTAGTATACTTTATATACGATGGATGCTAATAAAAGACATACAGTAGAAGAGTATCAAGTAAACGAATGAATCAGTTTAGAAAGAAAAGAAAATGAATTATCTCGCGAACTCGATTCAATGTATTCGAAAGTTATTTTAACGAAAAAGGGGTGGGGATGGGGGGGGTGAAGACAAAACGAATATAGAGAAAACAAGAAAATAAGAAAAGAAAATTCGCAATTAAAATGTATCGAATATAAGGTCGCTTTGAAGAGACAACAAGCTGCCGAGGATGCAATAGCTTTGAGGATGGCAAAAGTAGCTACAGGTGAAAAATTAAGCCGACTTCCAGCAGGGAAAATATTTGGGATGTCTGTAACCGAACCAAAAGGAATATCCAATAAAGAAGAAGAAGGAAATGGTAGGGATATGAGTCCACGAAAAGTTGATTCCCCGATGGAAGATTCTACAAAGAAGGTAAGTTTGAGTAGAGATCAGGAAGACTAGATCAGCCATATTATCTGTCGCAGAGATTTCCTAAAGTATTAAAGTTGTGTTGAATATTGAAACATAAAAATAGTTAACATGTCATTTATGAAAATTTAAAATTTAGATTGTGAAAAATGTGTTTTCTATAGTGATTTTTGGTTATTTTAAAATTTTGGGAAATCCTGAACCATTTCGTTACCAAATACTAGGAAGAAGATATTTTCTTCTTCAGAATTCGACCGAGGAAGGAACAACGAAATCGTTGAAAGGAATTATAAATGGATCAACAGATAAAGAGGTTTCGGTATCTCGAAGATCAGTCGAAACTTTGGCACGTTTATTTCCTAGAACAAAATTATCAGTCCTACAATTGGTCCTCCAACGATGTGGTCAAGATTTATTAAAAGCCATTGAGTATTTTGCTAGTGAGAGTCTTGGGATTGATTCCATGTCAAATAATGAGGTTCCAACGTCAGCCTTTCGACCACCTCAAACGCAAGTACCATTGGATCGAGAAAGATCGACGAATGATCTAGATTTATCAAGCAATAATTTATTATCACCAATTTCCTCGAATTTAACTAGAAATCTTTATCTTGAAGATGCTTATCGACTTCTCAATGTTTTACCTGATCACATTTCTAAAAATATCACCCCAAATACTGGACCAACGATTTATCCAACATCGATGATCCATCATTCCGAATCTCCAGATCCTTCGACTCTACCAATTTCTTATGACCAAGAAACCGTAGCTTTAACTGTTCGATACAATGATTACTTTGCTTCAAACATGCAACAACAACTTAGAGATCGCGTTTATGCTCAAGTTACCGATCGTCTTGCCGATCATCTAGCTGATCAGTTAACACCAAGATCAGCTACTTTACATTTACCACCTGTTTTTCCTGCTATTCCTTGTGTCCTTCCTAATTGTACTCAGTGTTCCTACAATATACTCTGATTCGTTTTTCGATTAATGTTATTATTATTACTTTAACTACCGCTAACTGATTAATATTCCATTTAATGGGGCATTAAATTTTGATCAACTGGATGCTTGAAAATAAAACTAGAAATGTTGTTTGTATCGTCTGGATTTTTGATTTTTATAAAACTATCATCAATGTTTATTATGAGCGGTAGATAAAGTATTATTATAGGAGAAAATTGTCAAAATTGTATTTGTCATTAAGATTAAAATTGGTTTCTATTTTTTACCAATTTTTCTATAAATTAATATTAATGAATATAAGTTGATGTTTTCTTCAAGACATCTAATACGCTACCTGTTAAATGTTTGATATTTATATACTGTTATTGTTAATTATTATTTATATTTAAAAAAGAAAAAGAACAAAATTGATGACTTTTTAAACAAATTTGTGTGGCAATTCTCTTCTATAATTATAAACCGTTCGAAAAACTTGACAAATGAACTAAGGAAACTCTTTAAATTTCATACAAAAAATTTTTATCTTGTAACGTATTTTTTAATAATGTAATATATAATAATCTTTCTTCTCTTTCTCTCTCTTGTAAACATTTGTTTTTTATCTTATAAAATTAAACTAGAAAATAAATCCGCTTATTTTTAATTGCAAGAAAATATGTTTATTTCATAATCGTTATAAAAAAAAGGAAAAAATTAAAAAGAAAAAAGAAAAAAGAAAAAAAAATGTTATCCTTTTGCAAGAGATCTTTAATTAAATGTCACACATATCCTGTATATAACGAGCTATACAAATCTTTAATGTTCTGAGTTCATCGTGCACGAATACACATACATATATGTATATATTATAGGCGTTAGATGTTTAAAAAAAATCAACTCATGTGTACATATATAAGGTATGCATGTATATTGTGTGGGATTTAACGAATCTTACGAATCGATAAGGTAATTTCTTTTCTACAGGAAAGGCTCGTCTTCAAAGTTCAGCGCAACAGTTAGGTCAATTCGAGCGTGTTAATGCATGCATCACTTATTATGATACACCTCAACGATTGACCTTTGATCGTCAAGCGTAAAATAAAATGCAGATTAATCAAACTCGATGACCATCGAATTTTTCTTTTTTTTTATTGGTCATACTTCATCTTCACATATATATATACACACACACATGCGTATATTGAAAAAAAAAAAAAAAATACGTAGCTGTGTAATGTTAATTTAGTTTAAAAGTTGGTGTAAATTTGTTTTATATCCTAAAGGAATACTTGGAAATAAAAAATAAAAGCTTTACTACTGTGTTGTTATTATCAGTTTCCGTGAGAAAAAGCAATGGGTTTCTACCAAAGTAATAGAAATTCTGTAACCGAGTTAGAAAGATTCGATTTTCTGTGTAAATAGAATCGGCATCGGTTGAACACAAGAGTCAATGCCCTGAAGGGATTTACTTTGGCTTCACTTTTAGGAAGAGAAAATACGGTGATCCTTTTCTACCCCCTTTTGGGAATTCGTGATCCATCGTGCTTCGAATTACTAAATACACCCTGAAATTTGACACTACGGTGATAAGAAACGAAAATCTTTTTTTATGTATATATACCCACATATATATTTATTTATATATGTGTGAACGTAAGTGCAATATTTTTTTACCAAGAATATAAATTAAATAGAGGAATTGATACTATAATTGAAATGAAAAAAATATATGTATACTGTGTGTGTGTGTATCATTAAATTTAAAATACATTAAAAATGACATGTACAAGATTGTATTGTTATTTGGTTTTTTAATAAATTTCATCAATGTAACACCGTTGAATAATACTTTCAATTTGTGTAATGCCATTGTTATACCAAATATTTTACATTAAATCATAGTACAGTTTCTTTCTTTTATATACGTATAGACGTATATAATGTGCTTTACTTAAAATATATTACTTAATAATAGGCACATGCGTTTATATTAGTATCACGAGCCTATAATGATTTACCTTTGTATATTTAATGTGTATTAACTACACATATAGTTAATATTTTTTATTAATTTGCTAAATAATTATTAAACGTGAAACAAAGGCAGTTACGAACAATCTCATCCATTAAGTGAATTATGTTCATTACGCTTATCAATGATGATACTCATTCTTGTGGATATGTATAAAAATCGTATATCCATATATGGTAAGCGATTTTTTGTTGCTTCTTTTTATAATTAATAATTAAATTTGCAGATTTGAATCCTAGTTTTCTGTTTCGATAAGATAATATATATGCTATACCATCTTGCAAATATATTTATATGTACAAAATTCTTTTATATCCTTCTCTATTTCTATTTTTTCTTAATAATCTATATACAAGTTTCGCTTTTATGAAAAGTACCCAAAATGCGAATTTTATTATAGCTGTTTTTATTGTTCGCAATAACTATGTTCCATTAATAATCTCCGTCGATTTAAAATCGTAAGTGGGGCTTATTTTTGATCATGTGTCTGTAGGAAGAAGAATTCATTAAAATTTTTCTTGATGAATTGATTGATTAAAAGAAAATATAAAAAAAAGATAATATTTACTTATCCAAATGTTCCCAAAATATCATTAATGCTGCTCTATCCAAGTGCCTTTTTGTCCTACTTAATTCGATTACTGTAACAGCCCAACGTGCTACATTTGCATCCAATCTCATTTCATCGTACTTCAAATGAAATGCACAAACTGTAAAGGAATGATTGATCTTTAGTATTTTTAAATAGTATAAATAAAAGTTGTATTTTTTCAAATGTGAAATAATTAATTTCATACATACCTTTAGAAAAGATTTCAACTGGATTACCGTCGAACGGCCAACCTTTAAATTGCCATGCTGGTCCCATAACGAATACTGCTACAACTCTTTCCCAATCGGCGTGAGTTAATTTTTGCGTATTGTCAATGATGCGATACGGTACTGTTAAGCCACCTTCCTTACGACGTTGTAAAAGAACTTCGTTTTCTCGTTTACAACCTTGAGACTTTTTATCATCATGACTAACATATTTTAGATCTTGAAGAATATCTTTTGCATTATACATTGTAATCAAAGAAGTATTTGCACTAGGGATAATAATTATAGGAGTTCTGCTAGGTCTTTTATTTTGTGCTGCCTGTTGAGGTGTAAGTTTGGCAGCAGATGTCGGTAATAGTCCAGAAGTTGGAGTCGTGGATGGATTGGCCTGTGGTTTCCTTACTGCCGGATTAGTACCCTCTGTCACAGACTTAAGTGTCATTCCGTGATAAGTGCCCATGGTATCAATTTTAAATCCTTCAGTTTCTTCTTTTTGCCTGATGAATCTTTCCTGATCATAACGATTATAAACAGCCGGTTGAGGTAACGGTCTCATAGGAGTAGAACGTGGAGTAACCATTGGCGTTGGAATGGCAGGACCCTTTTGTCTTCCCTCTTCTCGAGCTTTAATACTTTGAAGAATGGCGAATATATTCTTAGCAAATATTTTACCACTACTCTGTAAAATTGTAGCACGCGTTCGCCATTGTCTTTCTCTCGAAACTATATCTTTTGTATCATCTACATCCATATCAAGAATAACACGTAAATCTGAGCCCATACCAATATCATCATTTTCTTTAATAGTAGTACGTTTTTTAGCCAATCGTTTAGCTTTAATGGCAGCAATTTTTTCAACCGACATAGCCTCTGAAAGAGACTTGATATTGTCGACTGTGACTGATGCTTCTTTAGGAGCATCAAGTCTTGCTGCAAGTTGTTCCTTGACTTTCTGTACATGCGTCTCTTCAAAACGAGGTTTCTTAGATGACCCACTTTCAAGACTATCCTCTGCAGTACGCTTAACTTGAGTTGGAATTTCTAACGGAGCAGATTTGTCTATGGCGGCTGATGTGGCAGTTTCTCCGTTGAGATAGGCCAAAAGATCTTTTCTATCAGGACGACGTACGACAGGAACCTTCTCTGCGGCTGCTTGTCGCACGTACACAGGATGCGTAAGCTGTACATGTTTTAATAAAAATAGGAGGCACTCTAGTGTATAATATTCCTTTGCTGTTCCTTCTTTGCCGGATCTATAAATATATATAAAAGATAATCTTTACAAATATTAATTTAATATAAAATACAATTATAATGCAATATAAATATTACACAGTTCATAATAAAATATTGGATTATTCTTCTAAGTAATATATTATATAAAAGTAAGCTAATTGTGCATTACAAGCATATCATACGTAGAAAAGAGATTTCACCAATTGTACGATACTATACGATTTAAAGATGCATTATATATATATATATATATATTGTTTATTTCTACATAGCATTACAATATTCAATCCCGTTAATAGTGATAATCAGAGACAGACTGTACCGAATAAAAATATTATTTTCGATGATTTAAAAAAAAAACTTACCCGTATGTTAAATAGTTGGTTTTAACGTTCTTTGGCCAAGAAAATTCGCCAAAAATAATTTGATTTTCACGTTCAATAATTTCTTTTTTGTTAACATTATATTGACGCAACAAACTCAATGGATCCGCCATGATTGCAAACTGAATTCAACGATGACATCTGGTGACAGTTCAAAGAGATAATACAAGGGTAAGTTCACATGTAATGTAAATAATTGTGTTTTCTTATACTATGTTATGCATTGAATACAATGCCTAATGTTTTCAACTTTATGTTGACAGGTAATCCATTTATATAAACGTACACACAGTTAAAAAAACGTATTAGAAAAAAGATTGTTACAAAGTGGAGTAAAACTTTTGGACGTTTCCATTCCCAGAGTGCTCAAATTATAATCAATAATTGTAAAAGTAGGTTGTTATTAAAATACAATATATAATCTTGAAGTAAATATCTAATGAAAATACAAAGTGCAAACTAAAATTGTTTTTTTGGTTCTTCCCTTTTATATATTCGTCGATTATTTACGTGTAGAATTAAATAGAAAGAGTGTGTTCTTGAGTGATCCTAAATTATTAACGGTACATACATATATATATATATATATATATATATATATATATATATATATATATATATGTATATAAATGTATATATAATTGTAGGAATATAATAATCATATTTCTGAAACATTGTATTTCAATAATACATTTGTACGTGAGTAGATAGTTAATAATTAGGAAGTCTAATATTCTGTTTATTAATCTTCAGTAGTTTATTCTCTAAATGAATATTCTTCGAAGGACAATGAGTTTTCCGGAAAAACAGGATGGTATAACTAAAGATGAGTGGGTAGCTAAACTCGAAGAAGGATCCCACACGCAAAGAGTATCTATGAATAATTTGATTATGAATTATCTTGTAACCGGTACTTCTTTTCTTTAATATTCAAAGATTCATTTATCTGTTAATTTACTACTGTATTTATGTTTAATAATTATTGTATATTTTTTAGAGGGATTTAAAGAAGCGGCTGAAAAATTTCAACAAGAATCCGGAGTTGGTCCTACGATAGAATTAAGTTCATTGGATGATAGAATTCGTATCAGAGATGCAATACAAAATGGTCGCATTCAAGAAGCTACAGATTTGGTCAATCAATTACATCCTGAATTACTCGACAATGATAGATATCTTTATTTTCACCTACAACAATTACATCTCATTGAATTAATTCGTACTGGCAGAATCGAAGAGGCATTACAATTTGCTCAAGATCAGCTCAGCGAAGCTGGAGAATCGGATGATAATATTTTGTGTGAATTGGAACGTACTTTAGCCTTGTTGGCTTTTGACGAACCACATAAAAGTCCTTTTAGTGATCTTCTTCACCCCACGCATCGACAAAAGGTAATATAATATATGTTTTTCTCGTTTTACCATGGTTATTTAATATTATTTTTAATATATATTTATAATTACATTACTTACAGATCGCCAGTGAATTAAACGCTGCTATATTGAAAATGGAACACAGGGAATCAACCAGTCCTAGATTAAATAATTTATTAAAAATGATCCTATGGGCACAGGATGAATTGGATAAGAAAAAAGTTAAATATCCTAAAATGACCGACTTAGGCAGTGCGACTATTGATAGTCCAAAATAATACTAATTAATTCAAAAATAGGTACTTTAATAAAATATTTTATTTATTAGTGTTTATAATGGTCGAATATCTTTATATATTAATATTGTTATTACATAAATATTAATTCTCATTATTATAATATTTTGGTTTCAATTATTAAAAACGATTTTGTCTGTTTTAGATGAAAAAAATAAAGTAAAGTAAAAAATATCGTCATCTCTATAATAGAATGAAAAAAATGTAACATGTTGTATGTAATAACGACTTGATATCTATTAATATATTTAGATTAAAAAGTGTATATTACTTTCTTTGTATACATTAGAATTATTTCATTATCTATCGTAAATCGTCATTTTTATTACAAATTCAATACAATTGTTTAACAATACTAAAAAATTTGAAATATATTTGAATATGAAACAAATGCAAAATTACCGTTTTTATAAATTATATCTTACAAATGAATAAAATTTATCATATGATTAAAAGTAATTTAAAAAATATATATATATATATATCATATTGTAGAATAAGATTTAATTATTATTCATATATGTATTAGAATAATAATAAGATTAGATGTGTGGTACCATATCAAAACAGATTCATTTAGAAATTAGAAATAATATTACTGATCATTTAACAATTACTTAATATCCATTTGAAAATTTTTAAAACGAGAAATAAAGATACGAAAAAATTTAATATATAATTATAGAAAACAAGTAACGAAATATTTATTTATTCCTAGCTAATTAAATATCTTCAATAATGCGTTTATTTTTAATTCGAATTGTACAATTTTATTTAATATAAAAATTAGATTGCAATTAACTATTTAAATTACCATCCAAATACATATTCCATCGCTTTAGTAACTAATCCAGTAGATTTTTGTGGAACATTTTCTGCCAACGTTACTGATTGTGGACTTAAATGTTGACTGTAACCTGCTACAAGTGGTCTTGCATTTTTAATTTTTATTGGCGTATGAGGTGTACTCTGTTCTCTACTCAAATCAATTTTATTAAATGTAGAAAATGATTTCATACTTCCATTTAACATAGAACGATTTTCTTTATCGCAACTTAAAATAACAGCTTCATCCGTACATGGTATTACACCAATCATAATTGAGCCCGAAACTATATTACTATTACATGCTAATGCCCTTTGCGTTTCTTGTTCAGATGCGCATTTCAAATGTATCCAATTGCTTATAGGCAAAGGTGGTGAATGTTTATCTATTATACGAACTTTGCTAGAAATATGCGAAAGTACTGTATTTATCGCATTCGGTGGAAAACCAAAAACAGTAACCCATTGTAATAGTCCTTGCGATTCATTATTGTTCAAACTTAATGGACTATCTGGGAATAACATATTATTGGTCGAATTAATTAATTTTTTTGAATGATTTGAATAAAAACTTTGATTAGTTTGATTCAGTGCTGTTTTAGGAGTCGTTATAGCCGGTGAAGATTCTACAATATCGAATAATCCACGAGTTGGTGGACCACCAACATGATTTTCTGTACCTATTTGTGATGTATTAGGTGTCGTAGTATTACCAAAAACAGCTTTCTGACGATTAATACGATAGTCTGGTGTACCATATTGTGAAATTGGTGATATCATATTAATATTTGCATTCAAATGTCTAAAACTATTATCTTGGGGGGTAGTTCCTCCGATTTTGGTAGGCTAAAAATTTTAGTTATATATTAGACTTGCTAACCAACAATTTTTTTATAAATAAATACAAATAATTATTAATTACAGTATTTGTATCTCCTAAAAGAAAACTTGGAAGATACATTGTATTACTACCAGGACTACTTGGATTTGGTATTGCATTGCTAACAGGTGATCCCAAAGTCATAGGTTCCATCTATGTAATTATTTATTGTTATTTAATTATCTTAAATTAATTCAAATTAAATTTCTAATAATAGCTTAATTAATTTTTATCTCAATAGCTCTCAGTATTCATTAGAACATGAAATTGTAAACAATAATCAGTAGAGAGTTAAAGGTTATATATTTGAAAAAGTAATGTTATAAGAATTAAACCTTTTAATACTTACTATAACAAGTTGTACAAATATTGAGCAACAAATTGTATATTTATCAAAAATTAATAACACTACAAGTGAGTTAGACGCAATTAACGATTAAATATACGAGCGTTCTTTGAATATTTTAAACAAATCTATGAGAAAGATTTCGTTTTATCGATGCGCATTAATTGTCACCATTTGCACGATTATTTGTTTTCTGATTGGTTAAAATGATTCTAGTCAATCAGCGAGCAGTACATGTTGTGCAACGCGTGATCATTGGTTGATTCATTTAGAATGCATGTGAGAAAGATAGAAGATATTTTCTCTCTCATCTACAATTACTATAAGATCTATGATTTATTATATAAAAATAATATTAAAAGAATTATATTTAAACGTATTATATACTATTATAGAAAGTTAAAAATTTTCCAAATATTAAATAAGAAATGTTTAACAATAATGAGGTTAGAATCAGCTAATTACATTTATAATAGACTTTATTCTACAATATAGAGAAGTGCTATGTAAAGTTGCATAACGTTTCGTAGGAAAAGAGTTAAATGATGTTTACGTATAGTTCAATGTTTATTGTATTCGGATTATTTTTGATAATATTTTTTGACACGACTTCGGCAAAATGTAATAACATCGAGACTTGTACTTGCATCGTTCCTGACAATGAAGCAAAGATATTAATTAATATTATATACAAAGGGTTCGTATAGTTGGTGATTCTAGCCTTACTTTTTTTTGATAATTGTATTGTATAAAAACTTTAAAGAATCACTAATATCGAATATTTACAAAAATGTTAAATTATTATATTTTGGGTTTCTTTTTACAGAAAACCTGAAGAGAAACTGCCTCATACATTGTACATCGATTATTGTGAGAATATACCAGAAAAAATTAATGAAAATGAACTCCATTGTACTAAACAAAATGGATCGGTAATATAATTAGTAAAGAAAACAATGATATAATGTGACGCTTTATTTCATGCTTTAGGTCTTTACTTATCTGTATATTTTATAATATTTGTATTAATGCTAATCTTTTATTTTCATAGTTCTGCTCCAATAATTTTCATACAACAAAACTTACTGAATTAGGGGTTGTGAATCAAACTGACGTACAATTGGTATCAGGGTATAATAATATATCAGTATCCATAACTTATCAAAATTTCGTTTTACGAACAACGGTTAGTTGTTGCACAAAATGTACCGCACAATTTATTTCCAACAATGTTACCTATCATGTACGTATAATATATAAGTAATTGGTAATCTATGCTTTATAATTTAGTTTCTTAAATTTAAATAAAAAATGATATTAAATATTATTTTAGGTTCCACCAATGGGGACAATAAATCCATGCAAGAAACAACTGCCTCTAGCTACCATTTCGATAGGATCTACTTTGGTAATTCTATTCTTCGTGTTCAGTGGATTATATTTTATTGGTGGTGCAATAACATTAAGGATGCTAAGAGGTGCGACTGGTTGGGAAATGTTACCTAATCACGAGTTTTGGTGTGATCTTCCATCGCTTATTAGAGTAAGTATTATATACTATTAAAAATTCTAAATAAACGATTGTGCGATTAAATCTGATGAATAAATTTTATTATTTTCTTTTAGGATGGCATTACTTTCACTTTTAACTGCTGCAGAGCAGATAGTTATGAAAGAATATGAATCTCTGATGAGATTTTATCTATATTATTTTTTTATACTATACCTAATGTGTACAAACTCGGTCCTAATTTATACATCTTTAAAATAGTGCGTTTATAAATATCCAAAATGTTAGATCTTATTGTATATTTATAAATTACAACATATCTGTGTGCTATAATATTTGATAAGAACGAAGACGAAAGTTATTTAATATAGCATATACATTTGCTAGCTAGTAATCCGGCGTATATTCGGAAACATTTTACTGTGAATATTCATTATTTTACAAATTTTTTACAGTATACCTATACACACAAGGATGTATATGTATATATGATGTATACATGCGTTTGTAATCACAGAACCACACAAGCAGATTTCCGATAAGATAAATATATATTTATTATTCTTTTGCCTACGGATATCATTTTGTACATATTATAAATGAAAAAATGTGATATTTGTTATGAATTTAAAATATAAATTCTAGTATATATATATATTTAAATATATTCTAAAATTAAGATGCAAAACCCATTATAAATAAGGTTTTCTTTTAAGCGAAAGACAATGTAAGAATAAAAAAAAATCAATAACAAGGTATACCAAAAATAAATTCTTTATTTCACTTTATTTTTACAAAATGTATTGTGAAAATTTTATTTTAATAAGCATAATTATTATTATAAAAGTATACATTTAGACTTTCTTACAGGGTTTGGTAAAAAAGGAATATTAATGAAAATTATATATATAAATATATTTAAAAGTTTAAACGATAAAATTATGATCTCATCTTAACATGAAAAAATGAATTTCTTAATAAGATCTTAAAAATTGGACTCTAAAACGGTCCGCTCGATGGAGAAATATCAAGAAAAAAAGCGATAACGAGCTATTTCGTTCATTACATTTTATTTTTAACATATTTAAATATATATATATATATATATATATATATATGTATAATTATGTACAATTTTAAGCTCGTTTGTCTCAATTTTTTATACGATAAACTACATAAGCTTTTTATTTGCCATTGATTCAAATAAATTTTTTGAAGCCATTTTTTCTTCTTTTTTTTATAATTAATATAATTTGCCATTATGTTATTCTCTTTTCAGATAAGAAATTTCTAAAATACTGAGATGATTGAAAAAACAAAACTAACGATTCCATTGTTTTTTTAAGGGTAATCATTCAACAGGGGTCTTGGTGATACTATTAGAGTTCTGAATAAATGCATAATGCATTTTAAAAACTTTCAATACCATCAACAGGAACAGAGACTTCGTGATTAGTTTGTATGACTATCCAGTTGCCGTTGGCATTTAAACCGCTTATATTAATACCTTTTGATGAAAATACATTAACAATATCGGCCACATTTTGTACACTTTTAGCACGGTAGAGAGAGATATGATTCGTCAGTGCTATGTCATTTGGAAAGAGAGCATCATCGACTGAGACTAATAATGGTTGGTTATCACGAATCGTTCCTATTTAATTAACATCACAATATTCATAATTAATATAATGCTTATTATATGTATAATGTTAATTTTGTAAAAAACAAAACAATAGATTTACCTTTAATTTGATGCGATCCAACAGTAACCAATACCGCTCTGTGATCACCTGGCACATGACTATCCTTGAGATCAACACCCATGTCTTCAGCCAAAATCGGTGCATTGATCAAATTCAAACCATTTTTCGTTTGACCTGTAAGTATACCAACTAATACAGATGTATGAATAAATTTCTTGTCTTCCATATCTGGGCCAATAGTTTGACTATGCACAGGTGTATTTAATTTCCTTTGAACGAGCCTTGCTGCTAACTGGCCGAGTTTCTTCGACAATTCTATCCAAGGTGCATTATCTTCCATCATTGCTGCAGCTAAAAGAGGAGCATTGACGATACCACTTACAGAATATTCCGTTGTTTTCTCGGCTAATGTCAAAAATTGTTGGGCTATCTCAACAGCGACACGTTGCTGAGCTTCAGCAGTACTAGCTCCTGCCATGATATAGATATGTTATTTAAATTCAACAAATAATTTTTGATTTATTAAAATAAAGAAAGATCAATGACCAACCTAAATGTGGAGTAGCTATAACATTACGATGTTTAATAAGCTCGATAAGAGCTGGACTCTTAGGTGGTTCTTCTGTAAACACGTCCAAAGCTGCACCACCGCATTGACCACTTTTCAATGCATTTAAAAGTGCTTCTTCATCGACTATACCACCTCGAGCTACATTTATAATGTACACACCTTTCTTACATTTTCCCAATGTCGTAGCGTTTATCAGATCTATAATTCAATAGAATGCATTAGATATAAATATACTATTGCAACAAAAAAATAAAATTACAACTAAATTTTATATTTGGTTGAAATTACTTCTTGTTTTTGGGATTAACGGTGTGTGTACGGTGATGTAGTCGGCAATTTCCCATACTTCATCTAATGTAATTTTTTTAAAACCAAGAGATTCGGCAACTTCCTTCTTCAGCAATGGATCAAAAGCAACGATGATCATACCAAAAGATTTCATTCTCAATGCAACTTCTCGACCAATTCTACCCATACCCAAGACTGCTAATGTTTTACCATACAATTCAAAACCGGAATACAATTTTCTATCCCATTTTCCTTCTTTTATCGATTGGCCTGCTTGAACTATGTTACGTGGTAATGCACATATCATCGAACATGTTAACTCGCAAGCGCTTATACTGTTACCACCTGGCGTACTACAATTGAACAAATATACAAATTTTTAATAATCAGGATGATAAAAGGAAATATAATTGTGTTAGAGATTACAAAAAATACACATACTTTAATACGAGGATTCCCTTGCGTGTTGCTGCTTCAAGATCAATGTTATCCACTCCAGTTCCAGCACGACCTATTACACGAAGATTTGAACTGGCCGATATTATATCAGCAGTGACCTTCGTTTCTGAACGTACAATTAGAGCATCGTGATTCTAAAATAAAATTATTATTATTGCTACATTTAACGAGACTTAAGATATGAACATTATTATTACTTTATTATTTTAATATTATATTTTATGTGTGTTTGTAAATATTTAGATTTAGTTAAATAAACACGTAAGGATTAACAATTAGTTATACTATATTTTAATTAATTCGTCCTTTCTTTTATTTTATATTTTATTATTTTGTATTATTTTTGATATTGAGGATGGGCTTGTACCCATTTTGGTTCTACAAATGAATTAATTATTATTGCTATATTATATATATCCTTTATATTTATATAAAGGAGATAGATATGTAAATGATCATTTTTGCATTATCTTAGATTATATAATATTTTGTTTATTGCGTAAATATTTATGTTATAAATTATAAATGCAATACGTAAATATTAAAAATTAATGTAATATATTTTAATTAATTCATCCTTTTTAAATTTTGATATTTTATTAGTTTGTCTATTTATGTAGAAAACAGGTTTGAAAACTATGTATAAGTGAGATCATGATATTTGTATTATGCATAATATCTAAGCGACTTCCACAAACGTTTCATTTACACGAGCTGTGTTAGTTTTGCTTAAACAAACACAATAGGTATTAAACGCGTTGATCAAAGAACCGTATTTTAGTCCTGACTGTTGTACGTACCAAGGAGAATTTTTTATTATTTTTATTTTCGAAAACTAAGCATTAATAAGAAATACAAAAAATAATAATAAAAGAATATTATATTTGGAATGAACCGTTTTTTAATCATCGGATTTCTTTGAACTTCCTTCTTCAAAATAATATTAAAAATTATTTCGATCATATTTCAGTTACAAATGAATTGATAAAATGAACTGAACTTTATTATTGAATTTTTGTGAAATTTTTTTTAGGAAAAAAGAAAAATATAACAAATAATTTTTATCATATTTTTGTTTAAAAGCATAAAATCAAAAGACAGAGATTAAAGTCCGACAATTCGTATAGGTAAAAAGAAATAGTAGCAATTTTTCAGTACTCTCTCGTTCTCTCTCTTTCTTTTTCTCTGTTTTTTTGATTTTTTTTATGAAGATCTATCGAGATCGAAAAGTTTCATATAAAGATATAAGCAATTTCTGCGTCGATACTTTAGTCTGTTGAAATATGAAGGTAGAAAAAGAGGTAGGAAAGGTTATTCAGAGAAGGAGTGAATGCTGTGAGGAAGAAAAGAAAAAAAGAAAGAGGAGGAAGAGGAGGAGAATGAGGAGGAGGAGGAACGAAACAAACTAGTTGACTACTGAAAGTGGAAAAGAGATAGAAGGAAGAATAAAGTGTGAAGAGAGGAGAGAGGAGAGAAACTGCGCGTGTGTGTGTGTGAGAGAGAGAGGGAGAGAAAAAGAGACAGAAACAGAGACTCCAGGCTGTTCTGGTACAACGACCTCCTATGCAGTTAACTGGTATTCTGCCTCCTCGACAAAACTGGATAGAACTGGATTCGCAGACCGAATTGCAAGTGATAAAAGAAAAACGTACGAATAAGCTTACTTTCCGAGGATGCCGGAGAAACACGGCTAGGATTAAGAGATGGAGAAAGAAAGGGAAACTAAACTGTTATAAGAAATTGTGTATATGGGAAAAAGGGTGGTTAGGGGGATGGGCTCACTACTAGGAGAATAAGTTTGAAGATAATTGGCTAGGACAAATTTGCATATTCTTGCGAGACACTTTTACGTATCTTATATTTTTTATAAATTTTTATTTATGAATAATAGATCGTTAATTCCTATTCTTTTTTCTATATTTTCATTTGTAATTTTATAAAAGAATGTAGTTAAGATAAAATTGAATATTTTTCTTATGCAAAAAATATCTCGTATAATGTCTTTTATTTGCACAATTGCATGCACATATGTACATCTTTCGTATGTTTGATAAAAATTACTTTATGAGTAATACCGTATGAATAATCATTTGTATTCTTTTATTTTCTATTAATATTAGAATTTTATAAATATTAAAGTTAGATGAAATGCGGTTTATGAACAAAAATTACATACTTTTGTAAGAAATATTTCGTACGATATTTCATTTTCTGTATGTAAAATACATGGAACATTTGCTTGCATAATATTTTTTATGATTGATAAATGTTAATTTAAAAATAACAAATGATTCCTATTCTTTAATATTATTTTACTTTCTTTTTCTATCTTATTATCTTGGACGTATTCAAATGAAATTGAAAACATGCATTTTTTAAATAACATCATTTATTTTATAATGATTTAATTATTATTAAATGAGAAAATATATTTCTATTAAATTTTTCGAGTATTTTCAAATTTGAAATAATAATAATAATAATAATAATAATAATAATAATAATAATAATAATATTAAATGATTTATATGAATAGAACGAATGTCGATGAAAACCTTGATTTGATTCGAATCGAGTAAGTCGAATGGAAATAGGCAATACTCACACGAAAATCAATTATAAGTGTTATTTATATTGTATAATTTGTATTCTATCGTAATCGATGAATATAACGAATCGATTTGATATTATTTTTATTTTGTACATTTATTTTTAAATAGATAAAAAAATAAATATCTTTTAGTTATGTAAAAAAGAAAAATTATGAAGAAATTTTTCATATTTATCTTTTAGAAATGATCTAAAAAAGTTATTCATAATAAAAGATATAATTCTGTACTGAACTTATAAATACAAATTATTTATAATATCAAAGAAAATAATTATAATGATCGAACAATATAATCGATATCTATCTTGATTGCAAAGCTAATGAATTGTCTAATTATCGTAATTATTATAAGTTTTCTAATTAATTTAACTGAAATGTTAAAGAAAATAATAATTAGTTGCTTTGTTAAAATTGTTTGTAAAGCACAATTAAATGTACTGTATAATTATGATGAAACGATGGAATGAAAAATTGTTGTTTTTTACAAATAAATGTTCATTGTTAATTACCTGTAGTTCCTTAATAAGCTCGTCTTTCGAAAGCTTGTATTTTGTAGTTACAGGAATACCATATTCCGAAAGAAGAGAACTGCAGGACTCATCCACCGGATCACTTATGAGAACGTTTCTCAACTTGATAGACATGGTATCCTTGAACATAGTATAGCCCTTGAAAGATGTTTACTTCGAAATGGTAATAAGATGCGAAGGTCACAATATTCTAAATCAATTTATATCTGCGATTTTATAATTTTATACGTTAACGTTTATATTATTTTTCAAATAATAATAATAATTAAGATGCATAAAGATTAATAAATAAATAAGTTATGTTTGTTTATGGAAATAATTTGTGACACTTTATGTTATGTTAATACATAAAATACATTATGTTGATACACATATGTATTAACATTTTATGTTAACTAATTATTTCAAATTTATTAAAATATTATATTTTAATTCAGAAAAGATATAATAATATATGATATCAATTAAACAAGTCTTAATGAATACGAACAGAAATATAATACACAAGCGTACATAAAATAACACGATCGCGCTTCGATCAACTCAGTCACCTTGAATGTAATATCTACACATCTATTTTATGTAATAATACACGCTACCCATTATTCATAATTATATGGATAGAAATAACACTTTTTCTAGATTTCTTTTTTTAATTTTTATTACGACGAATATATTTCGAAAATATACGTTATTCGACTTATTTTTACAAGTGCTTAATATAAAATTAAAAAAAAATAATGTAAAATTAGCATACATTGGTTGAAGTGAAAAATCTTATAATGGAGAAATAATTTTAAACAAAATTTTAATCATTAGAATTCTAATTGAAAATATCGTTAAACATACCTCGTTTAGTGAACAAAGTTGAATTGAAGATTTTCTTTTGATATAGAAATGATTTCCTTACTATATTTCGTAGTTATGATTATATCGTAAGAATATCTTTGGTGTTCCTTCTTCGATGCTGGTTTGAAACCTAACTGCTTTCTTCTACAGTCAATTATCTTCTTATAGCATAACTCCCACTCCAGCGATAAGAAATCGTGGGCTTCCCTCGCTCCTGTTTCTTAGTTGTTTGCTTTTTCGTTAGAGGTTTAGAACAATTTATATTTTAATTGTATTAAGCGAAATGTTAGTGTGAATTCATATTAATATAAGTAGGAAACTGGTGGAACAAAATATCTATTAATATCTGCAATTATCTTATTATTGTATCTAAAATAAAATACAGAAAAAAATCCTCATTTCGAATCAAAAATGATATATTATACTTATCGAATAAAATAATACATGTATATTTAATTTATTTTAAATATTTCTTCTTTTTTTCGATTAATCGAAATACAAGAGAATCTTAATTAATTAATATATTATATTACAAAATTACAAGGAAGAGTGTTTTCTTCAAAATGGCTTCTCTTTTTTCTACTTTTACGTATTTTATATATATTAGGGTGGGTCAAAAAAATCAATTATTTTTTTTTTTACAAGTGCCACGGAAAAATGGGTTGCTAGACACCTTAAAAAAATTCTCACAAAATATGAGCTCTTAATTTTAATAGGAAGATCCTCCGCATCGCAGTTTTTTATTTTTTTTTTCAGTCCAATAGAATAAAATTCATACTTCATCATTTATTGATTGTACAGAAAAATGTTCAAGACGAATTTTGTAGGAAATTTAATGCTCTACAAAAAATCATCATCATTCATCATCAAACTTTCATGTGTACTGATTTCTGTCTCCGAATATCTTTTGAACGCTTAATTTAATCGCCAAAATATAAGACACCATTTTTATAGAGCAGTTAATTTCTTACAAAAATTTGTATTGCGCATCTTATAATAGTCATTTATTGTCGAGTTATAAAATTCACAAACAAAAATGAAATTTGTCTTAAAATAATCAAACTTCAATCTTCAATATCATTCAAATGGTGAGGTTTACGGAAAAAATATAAGATATCTTTTTTGCAGAGCATTAAATTTCCTACAAAATTCGTGTTGAACATTTTTCTGTACAATCAATTAATGATGAGGTATGAATTTTATTCTATTGGACTGAGAAAAAATAAAAAACTGCGATGCGGAGGATCTTCCTATTAAAATTAAGAGCTCATATTTGGTGAGAATTTTTTAAGGTGTCTAGCAACCCATTTTTCCGTGGCACTTGTAAAAAAAAAAATAATTGATTTTTTTGACCCACCCTAATATATATGTAACATATAACTAATAAATTTATAAATTCAATAAATAAAATTATATAAATATAATAAAAATTATATATATATATATATTTTGTATTTATCACTTAATTTTGATTGTAAATTACAATTATCTTTGAATGAAGCAAGATAATTAATTAATACATTATTTTTATCTCTCAAATATTTAAAGAATAAAATTATTATATTCATATAAATTAAATTGTGCCTATTCAAACGAAAAAAATAAATAAAAAGTAATGTAATAATTACTTAAAAAAAAGAAGAAAAAGAAGAGGCAGAAAATAATATGCACAAACTTCATTTGTTCTTTCGTATAGAAAATTGTGAAACATATTTTCTATTTATCAGAGGGTCACACGATGTCGAGTGATGCAATCGTTGCTGGGGGTCTGAGTGAAGAATAATAACTATTACGATAATTATTGACATACGTAGCATGAGTACTTTTGATTTCTTTTTTTTTCTTGATTACGCCTTATCTCTCTTTTTCTCTTTTTCTCTCCTTCTCTCTCTCTCTTTTTGTTTTTGTATTTTTAAAATCTTAGATATTTAGAAATTTTTTGATCCATTTAAACGCGTATTAACTAATGAGATAAAAATATTGTTTCACGTTTTACCAAAAAATATTTGATTTCGTAATAATGATACGACGATAATATCATAATATAACGTTTCTGTTATTTTTTTTTATGTTTTTGGGAACCATTATTGTTATCAGCAAACGTATTTAGGTAGAATTGTATATGGCTTTATAGAAGCCATTTCATTTGCTTATAAATAGATTGTTATCGTTTTTGCTTCTATTTATCAGATCTAGTTTACAATTTTATGTTATTCGAAAAAGTAAATGAAAGTGTATTTTAGATTTTCAATAATAAATAAAAATTGCAATGTGTGTATGTGTTGCAATATTCTATTTGCTATTATCTGATATTAAAATAAACATTTTTTACGTTAGAATTTTGTAAATAAATTTAAAAGAAAAAATAGAATATTTTTTCTAATTTTTTATTCGAAGTTTAAATAGTATTTTTAAATTTAATGAATATACGATGAATTTGTACGTACACATCTATTTATGTAAATTATTCTTAACAAACAAATTGAGAAAACCTGATATTTTAAACTTAATTTAAGATAGTAGTGGCATAATAAAGTAGTTGCATTTACGAAATAAGTTGTTCACTGTTTCAAGATAGAGAAGACTACTATTTTCTTAGCGGTTCAGTGATTTCATTTAAAAAAATAAGCAAACGATACGTACGTCACGATATTGATTTGTTAATAAGAATTCTTCGACTCGGATACCCCCAGCAGAACAAACGTACAAAATTATCTTATCCATGTATGGAAAATAACTTGCTTTATTGCATTGAATTTTATTTGTTTCTTTCTTCCTTAAGATTCATTTTTTGGATTACGATAACATAGATTTAAATAGAATTTCATTTTTATGACTTATTACGTTTTTTTTTTACAATACATTCTAATATTTGTAATTAATTATGTTTCTTAATTTCTAATAATTTATTTTTTAATAAGTAAGCAAATAAGTAAGTCAATAAGTATCATTTGAATGAATGCAATAAAAATTGATACGTCCGGCATTGATAAATCGGTTCAACTGAAAATCTTCTTTACTTTAATACTAGTTTTAACTGGTTAAAAGCTTGTGAACTCGAGACCTCATCGAAATAGATAACACTTGACAAGATAGAGACAGATAGAAAGAGAGTGAACAAGAAATATAATACTTTCGATAACACTCACATGATTCGAGTGAGTAGGAGAAATGATTTCCTTTCGAACGGTAAGAGGAACGAGAATATATTATTAAATATATGCCACACTTACATATTGTACAACTGGTATGTCTCATAGTTATTTTCTTTTTTTGTTTCCATTTATACACTTTATATTTCGATCTTTCTCTATGAGAGGAAGCCCACGTGAAGTATCATTTTGTTTGATGGGATTATATTATATGATCAATTTTTATCTCATTCTCTCTCTCTCTCTCTCTCTCTCTCTCTCTCTCTCTATCTCTCTGTCTTTCACATAATCTTTTCTTTTTTTCAGTAAATGTTATTTTATTACTATATGTATAACAACATATTTGATAGATATTTTTAATGTAATAAAAGCTTCAATTTCTGCTCCTAATTCTTGCTTATTTGAAAGGAGCTGCTTTTTAAGTTAAAAGCTTACTTTATATATTTAATGGAAATTTTTAATATAATAAAATTTCAAACTCCTATTTCTAATTTAGACTTATTTGAAAGGAGCTGTTTCTTTAAATAAAAATATTTTTTGTTACCAAACACATTTAATGTAATAAAAACTTAAACTTCCATTCCTGATTTGGATTTATTTGAAAAGAGTTGTATTATTTTTTCAATGAAAGTATTAATTTTTTTAATTATACATATTTAATAGATATTTGAAATGTAATAAAAGCTCAAAAGCCTATTCCTAATTCGTTCTTATTGTAAGGTAGTCGTGGTGGTAGATGGTATATGGGCAGTTGACACGTAAATCGTATGAATTACATATACATTCTATGCAAATATTCGTGCAAATGTTCTAGCATATAGGAAATTTATTTCTGTCGGTAGGTAGGAAGGTATTCTCTTTAAGGTAGGACGTTGACAAGTACTTAAAGAAATTCCGGATCACTTCTTGATCCGTATTTAAATAAAAAAGTTTAATGATTCGTTGAACAACAAATGATGGCTTTACGTGATCGTAACAGTTTCATTGCATTATCGTTATCACATACCGATGACATTATCTTCCCTTTCTAAGGTTAACTTCCGATTACACGAATTCAGATACTTGATAGTACACGATTTATAAATCAATCTGACTTTATTTAGTGCTATTACTAAAATACCCATCTTTTTCTGTAACGGAAATTCATTTGTTTTTTTTTCATGAGATCTATGTTATATTATGGATAGATCTTTTTGTTTAGATCATTTTCAGAGGTGTTTCTTTTATTTTCTTCTTTTTTAAAAACTGATAAATATCTCTTACGTTATTAAAATTCAAATTGGATTTAATTACACTCAATTAGATAAATGAAATTAATATTCGTGTTTGAAATGAATGCCACTAGGTACTCTTCTCGTAAGTATTCCTTCTCGGTATAGTATGTGTTGTACAAGGACTCTCTTGTACCGAACTCAATCGTACAAGTATAGTATGCGGAATGAGATTCCCGCTTGTCCCATTTTCTTGTCTTGTTGTTTCGCCACTAGCACAACCAGTTAAAGCTAACCCACCTGCTGCACGATCTCCTTTACCTTTGCAACAAGGAATTTCTCTCATTCCTTGACGGAAGTTACGCGATAGGAAGGCATAGAGAAATGGATTCAAACAGCAATTCGTATAAGATATCAAGAAAGTCGATACGGTCAGGAGAGTTGTAAAATTCGAAGTTCGGTCGTAATTTGGACCCCAGTGTAGCCAAATTATGCGAACTTGTTGCGGTAAATTGCAAAGTGCGAAAAGTACTACTACGGCAATCAGCATCCTGTTAAATATACATAAGATTTTCAAATTAGTTTTTAACTTATAATTAAATACAAATATAACTATGACTATATAACAATAATATGTGGATACACATATTGGAAATGATCAGAACCGAAGGTAGATATATTTTATTTATGCAACACATGAATATAGTTTCACATTATATTGTAGTTTCGCCTTCACATGCATATTATATTGGATTGCTTGGAAAATTTGTGCTGATTTAAGAATAGTAATTTTTTTTTTTATTCAGAGATTTCTGTAGTCGCGTTTAAAAAAAAAACATGGAAGTTTATATTGTAAAAAGTAAAAAGCAATTCTAAAATTAACTTTACTTTTTACTACTACTACTACTACTACTACTACTACTACTACTACTGGTGAAAATAAAGTTTATGTTAAATCCATTTATATCTATGTATTTATTATTTTTTAAAATGTACCCTTTATGTGTTCATTTATGTAAGAAGAAATTATTGATTAAAATATTATATTTATTTTATATGTATATACACGGAATATTTAGTTATTTATAAATTGATAAGAACCTTCGAAGCAACTCAATATTTTCTATATGACGTATAAATGCATTTGTAACATTTATCTATGTGTCTAAAGTATGTGAATATATTTTTACATGTATTAATGAATATTTTGATATACGTATATTTATTTGTATCCATCAAAATGAACATTTTTATTTAATATTACTTTTAAATAAATCTGATTGTGTGAGTTTGGAAGAAAGACCATGTGTTTTCTTTCAAGCCACGTAGATTTCTAACGAAATGAAATTCGAAAATAAATCATCGTTAAGAGGGGAAAATAATAGCGTGGTAAATTGCGTTATCGATGCTCCATTCGTTCAGATAAATGGAGGTTACTCGATCACATTGATTGACGATTTGCCCTCAATCTAATCATTTTGAAAAAATGAACCTTGTGTGAGTTGGAGAAACGTCAAATATTAAACAAATTTTGTTTGACAAAGACAAAGAAAAAGAAAAAGAAGAAAAAGAAGAAGACAGAGAATAAGAAAGAAAATAAGATAGACAAGTAAAATAAAAAGAGAAATGAAATGTGGAAGTTTAGTTATATATGAGCTTGACACATGCCCACATGTAAGTACTACATGTAAGAATGGACTGAAGATTTCTAGCTGAAGAATAAAACTTTTAAATAATTTGAAAAATCTATTAATTTTTTTTATCGAAATCTTGTATATGAAAATAATTTAATTCCGTTCAAACTGTGACAAATGACAAACTTGGAAATCCTTATATTTATCTTATTACAAGAAAGAACAATTTTCAAAATAAGTTTAAAATTGATTGAGACAATCAATAGTGAATTTTTGGTGCCCAATGTTGTATTTTATATACGTGTACGTAAGAATAAATAAAGTATGTATATTTCAAGGAAGAAAATGTTTCAAAATATAAGAAGAATACCTTATGACACCACGTCTTGTTCTAAGAACCTTCCTGCAGGAAGTATGGATATGCTGAACTCTACCGTTCTTAGTTTTTGCTACTAGGCCAGGTCCACCGAGAGCAACACCGCTTCTCCATAGACGTACAGCAATTTTAGTGTAAAGATAGGACATCAGTGCGAGTGGTAGAAGATAAAGGAAGATAAAGTTAACTGCATCGATGACGTGTTTCTTGTATTTTTTCATATTGGGTCCACAGATGATATCAACGTCACCGTCGCTCAATTCGTTGCTTATTGTTTCGAAATAAATAAATCTCGGTGATGCATAAAATGCTGCTATTATCCAAATGATACCAATGACTGCTCTTAAACGACTTCTCGTTAACATCGATTTACATTTTATTGGGTGTACCGTTGCCAAATATCTCTCGATGCATACAACCATCAGTATCAAAATACTTGCCGTATATGAAAGTGCATGGACAAACATATAAACTTTGCAAAGAAAGTTACCTAATCGCCAACTATTCATCAAATAATTTATCAGAGTTTGGTAGACGCAAAATATACCGACGCAGAAGTCTGCCACTGCTAAATTTGCCAAGAAAAAATTCGTGATGTTGGGTAAGCGACGGGAAAACGTCACCACCAGAATTACCATTAGGTTACCTGAAACAGATAGTTACTCTTAGTTAATTGGATTGGACAGATTATCTTATTAATCATATTTTTCTTATCCGGTATACTTAACGTTTATATACGTTATATACGTTTTTTTCTTAGCCATTCAAATTACTGTAAATATCACGAATATGTAATTTTTTATTAGAAATTAAAATATTATTAAGATTTGTATGGGATAAAGTAAAATAAAATAAAAATAAAAATAAAACGTGTCAATCCCAAGGGATTATGGTTTCAATTTAAATAATTAGAATTTGGCACAATGTTTGTTCTCTTATTTAATCTCGATAAATCAAATATTGGAATTATCTTAATATATTGGTTCTCACGTTTGAGGTTTACAATTATTCAGGGAAATTCGTGCATACCGATGAGCTTAAGATCCATTTATCTAAATGTATTTGCGATCTGTCGTTCACCAATACTAATTCCTACTATAATTCTATTATAGTAACATATTGTAGATATTAATTAATTAACTTAAGCTTATCATATTAAATTTAAAATATTTTTTATGACGATAAACAATTTTTTATTTTTTACAGTTAAAATAATATTTTATAATGAAAGTGGGAATTTTTATTTGAAAAAAACAAAAAAACATTTTAAAGGGAAAAAATAATTTTACATTTTCATTCGAAAAATACTTTTCGTCTTCTGGCTCAGACACAGGTGAAATTATATGAGTATCATTTTTCAAGATCTCCGCCCCTTAGATCTAATACCTCGTAATAATGATTAATCGTTTTGCTTGTGCAGCTTACACTCTTTAAGGAAAATATTCTTCCTAAGTATCTTGTTGAATTTGGAAATAATGTAAAAACTTACAAAAATATAATTTCACGCACATGCATGCATACAATAATTATGTCGGATAATTATGATAATAGAATAAGTAAAAAAAATTATACAAATTTATTTTATAATAATAAATAAATTATAAAATTCTTTTTTCACAATGTTTTTTTCACTTAGTTCATTGCCATATAATTACCGGTATAATAATTTAAAATAAATTTAGAATAAATTTTAAGACATTTATAGCATAAACATTAATTTAATATTAATTCAATATTAATATATGAAATAATAAACATATGTATCTATAACCCGTGCTGTAAAGAAACAAAATAGGTTATTGTTATATTAATAATAAAAATTATCATATATAATATTTTATATATAAAAATGTTATTTCCAAGAGAGAGAGAGAGAGAGAGAGAGAGAGAAAGAGAGAGGGAGAGAAAGAGAGAGGGAGAGGGAGAGAGAGAAAGATCGTGTTATTAAAAAAGAAAAGGAAAGATAGGTGCAACGACATAAGGTTCACCTTCCATTGCCACTTTCAATTCAATGCCGATCACGTTCGATCCCAGCTTCGAGTTTTATTGCTCAGCAATGCTGCTTTCTTGTATCGCGCCTGTAAGTTGCTCGTACGATTCTCGAATGACAATGGGACATCATTTTTCCAAAAATGAAGGGGAAGAAAACAAGAAACAAAGAAAAAAAGAAAAAGAAAAAGAAAAGTAAGGAAAAAAAGTGAGAGAAAAAAATTCAAAGTTGTTGTTAAAGGAAAAAGAAAAAGCAAAAGAAAAAGAGGGAGAGGTGGGTGGAGGGGGTAGAGGGAGGGGGAAAATGAAGAAGTTCAAGTCCTTGTAACTTTTTTTTGCACGTTATTAAAAGTTCGAACTGAAAAAGAGACTTTTTGAATTATATTGATAAATGAAATGTAAATAATGGTTGTAAAAGAAAAAGAATAAGAAAAAGAAGAAGAAGAAGAAGAAGAAGAAGAAGAAGAAGAAGAAGAAGAAGAAGAAGAAGAAGAAGAAGAAGAAGATGGTGAAAAAGACTCAACAATTTTAATATTCAACATCTCAACCATTGCCGTTTATTCATGGGGTTTTCTCTAATCTCTCTCTTTCTTTTCCTTTTTCTCTTCTTTTTTATTTTCTTATTTTTTTTTTTATTTTTTTTTTTATTATTTTTCGCCTTATTGTATGAGGTTTTCGAAAGAAAGAGAAAATATGGCCTCGTCTAAATGTTCCCCACTTTTGCGGTAGATCCCTTTAAATCGTAAATCCACGAGCCATTAATTCTACCTATTCGACAGTGTTCTTCGAATGAACATAAAAAGAACATTCTTTTAGATCGTTTTCTTATAAATACACCACCACCATTGCCTCTTTCTCCTCCTCTTCTTCTTCCACGGGGATCGAAGGAAATTTGAAGAAATCTCATTTAAGTATTTCCAATTCAAATGTTACGTGTCTACTCTTATTTATTACCTAATTTCATATATTTTGATAATTCTATGGTAAATGAAATATTTTTATCATACTCTAGGGGTGTAAGAATCGTTTAGTTTTTTTGAATTTTATCTTTCTGATTTAAATAAAATTATAATACTAATAATAAATGTGTATACAAAAATATTTAATAAAAATAAATTTTGTTTTTTAAAAATGTAGTATAGTGAATCTTTTAATTTTAATAGATTTAATGTTTTGGATTTAAATAAAATAATGATAATAATATATCAAAATTTTAATAATAACAGTAAATATATACTAAGATATTTTTAATAAACAAAATTATGTTTTTTAGATATATAAAATAATTAAAAAATATTTAAATTGATATGAAATATTAAAATACTTAAATATTATTTATAAATTTTGTACTTTACTTAAACGCAATTGTTTATGTTTTTGACTGTTAAATTTACAATTTACAATTTACAATTAAGAAAATTGTTAGAAAAAAAAAATTCAATAATTTCTTTATATTTTTATTTGTACTTTCTTTTTCTCGTAGTAAAATAAAATTGCGGTGTGTATCAAAGGAGTAAAATGGTTTTCCAGTAGAAGCAGCTAGTTGGCCCTCGGCAATTTATTTCTTTACTCTTTACTTTGGTTCTACCTATCGATACACTGGAGAAAAGAAGTGACACACATTTTGCAATAAATATAAGTAGTCCTCCAATAACACGTTTAATTCGTATCGTGTTATATGGAAGTCGTATGTTAAACGAAACCTCGGATCCCATAGTAAATTCAACTTAAATTTTTCTGAATTGGATATCACTGTACGTACAAATATCTGTGATACTATACCATTTATGTTATGAAAGATAATATTTTCTGGGTTTCGATAAAAAACAAACATTTTAATAAAAAAGAAAAAAGAATCACTTTAAATAACATTTAATAAAATCTTTAAAAATAAATGTGAAAATATTGACAAATATTTTAATAAAAGAAAATATTTTCAAATTTGGATTTACAATTAATTATTTAATCATATAAATGATTTAGAAAGATATACATTATATTTGATTCTTTGAAAAAAAAATTTGCCAAGTTAAACGATAAAATAAACAGATAATATCCGATGAGGAATTGATTAAAACGATGAATAATCGATAAAACTATTGAATAATAGAAAAACGTACTTTCAATTAACTAACGAGAAGTTTTTGAAAATTGTTGTAAAAAAAATTTTGTAATTAGACCGAAGAAAGTTAAACGTTTAACTTCTTAAAGCTATTAGAAATTTTTTACCACCGCATTTTTCACAATTTTTTATTAATTTTGATTAAATCTTTCCCTTCGTTAGGGGAAGGAAAAAGAAGATAAAAGTAAAATTGTAGGTTACGAAAAAAAGAGAGATGATTTTTAGTCGTTTGAGAAAAAGAAAGATAATCGATCAGCTTTAAATGATATTTTTTTGGTTATTAAATTTAATAAATCAATATTTTTTTGCGTAGTCCAATTAATTGAGTTAGATAGGAAGGAATAAAGATTTGCAGAAAGGATAATAGAGATGAAGGTAGACAGGAACAATTGTAGAGAGAATAAAGCACACACCACATATATACCTAACACGCACGAGCGCATTTATACACACATAATATCACACATATAACATCGTTTTGAAATGGTCATTTACTCGATTCAAAGTGATCACGAATGGCCTCTTCTATGTCAGAAGTACGAAGTATAGGATTCTAATTGTAAGTCGAATCACGCATTGTTGCTGTTCTTACTATCAAACTCGCAAGGGAAATTAATTAACACAGACTTAGTAATTCTTTTAAAATTTCATAAATGATCAAAAACAATGGGGAAAAAATATCAATGAAATAATATTGATTAATTTGCATTCATATACATACATACACACGTACATTCATAAAATATCCCAGTATAAATGGGAAATAATATTTTAAAGGTGACATTGGAACGTCATACATCCCGAAAATTAAATCAAATAAGATATTTTTCAATTGTTTATTCTTCTATGTGTCTGAGTTAACTTTAATAAATTTTCCTTTTATTCTAAAATTATTTAAAAATATTATTCTAGTATTTGTATTATTATTATTTATATACATATTTTTTTGGGAATTATTACAATTTATATATCATAATTAATATATGAGTTGGAAATATTAGACGTTCTCTTACGAGAATAATAATAATAATAATAATAATAATAATAATAATAATAATAATAATAATAATAATAATAATAAAATGGATGTTGTTTTTTTAAATAAAAAAGTGCAAACTCGAGATACTTGTTCATGCTTTTAATTAAAACGATGATAGAATAAAATAAATATCACGAATAGAATTCTTCATAGAATAAAATAAATATCACGACAGTACCGAATATTAAAAATATTTCAAAAATATTATTACAAATACAAAGAATATATATTTATACAAATTTATCCAACAGGAATAAAGAACGAAAAAAGGACAAAAAAATGTCTTTCAAACTGGATATTGAACCAACGATAAATACTAAAAACAATTAAAGAGTACACTTCAAAATTAAATTTTAGATGTAAGTGTATAACAAATAAATATAGATTCCTCGGAGGATCGCGTCTTAAAAATTAGATAATTTTTCTAGAAATAAAAAAAAAGAAATAAATAGAAAAATAGGAAAAAGAGGGAGAGAAAAAAAAAAGAAAGAGTAAG